GAAATTCAAGTTAGCCATTTTGTCCTAGAATTGTGAACTCTGCTTTTCGGGCATCCTTATACTTTGAAAACGTGGCGCATCTTCAAGCAATGCAGTAATTGTCCCGTGTTGATATTCTGGCCTTCCCCGGGACACCAAATGACAAGAGAGAGAAAAAAAAAGAGAGATAATTGTCTCTAGTGATAATATCCTTTCATGATTTAATGTCCCAAGTTGCCTTTCTTCTTTATTTTGTCTCGATTCTGAAATTTTGAGCTTTTTGTACCAGTTGATATTTGTGCTGTGCTCTGGCGCCCTCTAGCGTAAGAGAGGAACAACACCTGGTGGGATAAAAGGGTGGAAATGAGGTGTGTGTGGGAAGGTATTGAAAATTGAAGTAAAGCCAAGATTTTTTTGTACATTTGTCTGATTATTTATTCCGACGTGTCCCCACTGGTGTTAATATTAAGCTTCGCCAGCGTTATTGCAGTATAGTTTATGCCGCGGTTGACTCAAAATTGTCTTTCAGGTATGAGCGCTTAAAAATGTTATTCCATGTTATTTTGTACTAAAGCATCACCTGTCTGAATCAATGCCAGGATGCGGTTGAATGAAGGGCGCTCAGTCACCGCCTTCTTCCGGAGCCTCCAGCGAATGGCGTGTCTCCGGAGGCGTGGCCACGTAGGGCAGGCGTGTTTGGCAACAGGTTGCTCTGGCAGCCACGAGCAGGCAGCTCCGATAGTCCCCTCGGTCTCATCACAAGAGGACGCTTCGGGATTATTTCCGTGCAGGTAAATTAGCTAAGAATTCCATTTTTGTAAATGCTCCTATCTAAATGTTTAAAACGTGTGTGTATATGTATATGTCTTTATATATACTGTATGTGTGTGTGTATATAATGTTTTCATTCTCATGTTGCCACCGCGTAGTCATCAGACGCAAAAAAAAAAAAAACAGACTCCCTGTGTTAATTAGATCGCAGCGCGTTGCGTAAACTAGGATAAGATGGCATTATTATAGCAAGCCTAAGCTTTAAATGGGATGTGAGGGCGCTTAACGAATGTTTACTTGTCTTCTCATGTGGTTTCGACGCACACCGATACCGACTGATCCGACAGGTGGGTGTGACGCAACCGACCCGTAGCAGATAGACAAACAGAATTGAAGTCTTTTAAAATCCTTGCGTGCTTCATGATGAATTTTCATGTGCTTTGATCTGCTCTTGTAGCCATAAATAATCCTGACCCTGGAAAAAGGTGGGGCTTAATTTGACTCACTTTGAGGTGATTTTAATGAGTTGCAATTTGCATCTTTTGTACAATGTTAGCCCCCCTTCTCAACAAAAACACCAAAGGAATACTCCAAGCAGGATAGCTTCTCCACTGTGGCATTTTCCCTCTTTAATTAGACAATCCACAAACTGTAAACAATGCTGGGTGTATTATTTTTTTTCTCTGATCTTAATCAATGTGCTTGGAAGAAGATGCATCCATTTTTTAATGTGCTTATTTGACACATAACCACTTTCTTCCCCCTTAATTATTGATGCGCATTATTCGTCCCCATTGCGTTGTTGTTGAACCTTCAAACATAAATCACCAAAACATTGCAAGCGATTCTAACCTTGTTGATACCATTAACAGTGTCGTTGATTATCAGTCAACACCTTGCTTCTCTTTCTTTCTAATCCCCTGGAGAGAAGTAGAGGGGAGAAAGTAGAAGCACCCGAGAAGGAAGCAAGGGGGCAGCTTGGCCTGTTCGTCAACATTCCCGCCTCGGTTCACAGTTGTCGCGGCGCTCCTGGTAGTCCATCAAGAAACAGAAGCAGACTCTCTCTTCTTATCCTGTACTAATCCGCCCATCCATCCCGCTTGTGAGGGTGCAGTCCTCCTCAGTGGCTGCCGTGTCCTCTTAATCACTCTGTATTCTATCCGAAGGCAAAGCACGCGCCACGTCGTGTGTAAAGGGACTGTCTGGAATCCATGGAATTTGTATGTTTTTTACCGAGAGTGAAACAAAGGTTGACTTTGATTCCCCGGATTCCCAAGGTAATTTGTGTTACACTGTAACTGTTCAGTTAGAGCAGGTTAGACTTAATTTCCTGTTGAGGCTCGCAACTGGGACCTTTAGTCTGGGAATCCCATTTTTGCAATCAGAAATTAAGATAGGCAGGGAGTTTCAAATCCTGGCCCTCACTGGTATACTACCTCTGGTTGTTTTGCAAGGGGCAAAAAAGCCAAAGAAAAAGCATATCAGTATGCTTACAATGCTGACTATAGAACTTTCCACAACTATGCGAGCCCATTTCCTCCATTAATCCTGGCCAAGTTCTGAGGGGCTTTCAACGTTTCTGATATTTCGCCATAATTGCACGGTGAAAATGAGAATATTTGTGCTCTGTTCTCGCTGATGCCACTCAAAGTCAACACGCTCCGCCTGAGTGACTCCTTGGACAACAGTCTGGCAAAGAGTGGGGGGGAGGCCCATTGCGGACATTAGAGTCTTTTGTGTGTGTGTGTGTGTGTGTGTGTGTGTGTGTGTGTGTGTGTGGGTGTGTGTGTGTGTGTGTGTGTGTGTGTGTGTGTGTGTGTGTGAGTAAATGTGTGTGTGTGTGTTGAGTAAATGTGTGTGAATGTGTGTTGCGCTCCGCAGGGCCAGAACAATAGGAACGAGTATTACCCCGACCTGGGTGTACTCATCTTCCTTCCACTTTTGTTGTTCTTGAACATGCCAAGGAGTGCCAACTGTTTTCGATTCATGCCAGAAAACATGACTGCGCAACAGTTATTGGCAGGAGTAAGGCGTTTTTTACATTTTTGGCATGAGACAGTGGAAAGACACAAGGGTTATTAATTGTCTTCATGAAAAAACTCCTGCAGTGCAAAAGCATCATTCATGTCTGCTGTGATGTGAACCAAGTCTTACGAAAGCTTAAAAGGCTTCTTAGAACGGTGTAAGCATTTCTCTGGACTGCTCTATTGGAAACAAGTCAGTTATCGAAGCAGCACTTGTGTTTGCGTGAATGTTTGTTTGTCCTGCCTGCGGGAGCAAAGTGTCGAGGTTGTTTTGGTGTATGTTCAGAACATGCCCCGTGGGGTGAAAGTGATCTAGTGGCATGAACATAAATCTCTCCCATTAAGAAGGAATTCAAAGCTATTCTTTAGGGCGGTTTTCTCCAACCTTAAGTGAGCAAGGGCACATATTTTACAACAAAAGAAAATATCAATGCACAGCGCAATACTGTACATAAATGTCACAAAAAGCACATATGCTACTACGAAGCCGAGGGCCTATGTAGTTGAACATGAAAGCCATGCATTCGCGGGAGTTGAGTTGAAAGGCGCAAAAAGGTAGCTGCAATTTCCGCCCATTGGCAAGTGTCTAGTTTGATTGACGACCGGCCCAGGATGTAGTCAGAAATCGGCTGGGTTACAATCCGGCCCCTGGCGTGATCCAGAACCAGAATTCTTCACCTTGTTTGCATTTCCGTTTTCTTCAAAGGCGCCAGCCAGAAAGTGGACATGAGCACACTATCCGCCGACAGGAAGCCTGTCGTGGACTACGGCGTTCAGATCCGCTTCATCAAGGACCTCCACGACACGGGTGGCGCGCCGCCAGACAATACCAGGGGAAGCAACGCCATCTCGCCCCATCCCGCCAGCAAATATGGGGTGGCGGTGCGTGTTCAAGGAATCTCCGGACAGCCGTACGTGGTGCTGAACGACGGCGCCAAAGGCGACTCGTACGGCGTTCAGCTTAACACACCGGCCACCGGCCCCGCAGCGCCCTCATCATCGTACAAGGGCGCTCCCAAAAGCAATGGTACAGCGGAGTTCATCACCCCTCACGCCGCCGGTGCGATTCATGCACACTCCCCAGAAGACGAGGACGGGGAAATCTATCGCAGCCCCTTGAGAAGACCTCCGGGGGACGGGCAGGCGGGCACTCAAGGGGAGGAAGAGGCCAGGACTGCAGAACCCCAAGCCAAGGCGGCTGCTAGTGAAGCACAGAAAGAGCGGGATGGGACTAGTGAGGAAGAGTACAATGAAGCCGGGTTGAAACCAGTCAAGGTGACGAACGCTGCCGGACCCAGGGGGTTCAAACAAAACGGATTGACGGGGTCCCCTTCCAAATACGCCGACAAGCAGCTTCCGGAGTCACCTACGGAGCCCCGGGCGTCGACCGACGAGAAGCCCATCGACACCAACTCGTTAGCTCCAATCAATAAGCTCATCAATAAATTCAACAACAGGACGCCAGGCGGCACCCCGCAGACCAGGGGCCGGAGCGGCGCCCGGCAGCAGCTCAGGTTTGAAGAACGCAAGCGCTCCAAAAGCCTGGAGGCCCGGAAGGAAACTTCCCGGCCCTCGCTGCCTTCGCCGACTTTCAACCCCTACGGTTCCCTTCTGTCTTCCGACTTGTCGAGTCGTGACGCTGCGCCGCCGGAGGCCCCGCAGATGAGCTTCACATCACGGGCAAAGTACAGTGCCAAGGAGAGAGGCCAAAAACCCGTAAGATCCAGTAAGATGGTGGTGGTTGTACCGCTCAGCGGGTTTTCTCCCAACGTCTCACTTTTCCCCTTCAAGGAGATACCGCCGAGGACCCAAAAATTCGCTGGGGAGAAGGTTCAAGCCAAACCAGCTCTTTACAACGGTGCCAAAGAAGGGTAAGCAAGTCGACCAAGTCACTGGGATCAGACCCTCCAATATGTCATCCGCTCAAGAGTCATCCCCTACATCTCTTCGTCTCCTTTCAGCACCAATGAGATTGAAGCACCCCTCGAAAGTAAGACCGCCATTGTTTACGAGACGACCAGCACCTTGAAGGTATGATCGATTTATTAATTTTTTTCATGAACTTAACAAGATTTAAGCTCTTGTCTTGGCACAAAACTCAAAATCTTCAGAGTAGCTTTGGCGAGTCTGACTCGTTGCTTTCGGATACTTTCAGGCCACTGATGTAATCCATTCATCCTTGACGTACCCATGTTAGTAATTTACATCCATTTCTCCAGCCGGGCGTTCTGTGAAGAGAAATAGCTGAATTTTTACAGGTCAGCAAGACCTTCCCCTAAGATAGCGAAAAGAATAGCAGCAATCGCTTTCCACTCGCTTGAAATTGTGGCCGAACCCGTCCTGTATGCCTTCATCGCAAAAAAGAAGAAGAAATCTTGAAGCGAATCAATTGACAGATAACATTTAGCAAACGGGACGCTGGTGAGGTTTTGCATTTGGGTCAGAGTGCGTCTGGTGTAATGTTCTGCTCATAATGAAGCAAACAGATGGCTGGGAACGTGTCCCCCTTTGTGATCAAATGAAGCGAGGCCCACTGTTTCACTCACACCTCTTTTGTCAGCTCACGCAATGATTTAATGGCCGTGTCAATCCCGCCGCTCTTTAAGATCAACCTCACTGCCGCTCTTCTGAATACACGCTGCCACTCTTAACAGTGTGCTCGCGTTTCTGCATCAATCTTGCAGATATCCCACCCTGGAGTGTGCGCGTTATGGCCTCGTTGTGTTGTCCCTGGTCGCCTAGCAACCATGCAAATGCCCGGTTATTGAGAGGCATTAATATTTCAGGTGGATTGGAACCGGGCACTTGCCGGGGGGGCTTTTCTCGAACACAGGCGGGTCCTGAAGTGGCCCGGTGTTCTTTGTGGCCGCCCACACGGTTTTTGCATTTTTAATGTACCAGTGTACTCATTACCCAAACGATGAAGTTGGCATTTGTGTTACGTAAAGTGCGCATTATTCAATTCTTGGAGACAATTGTGCCAGGGAACAAATTATACATCATTTCCTGTGGGGATAAATGGATTGTAAGGACCTTGGACTACTCTATCTCCGCTTTGTGATCCTTCCCGAATATGCCCCTCGTGTGTGTGTGTGTGTGTGTGTGTGTGTGTGTGTGTGTGCGTGTGTGTGTGTGTGTGTGTGTGTGTGTGTGTGTGTGTGTGTGTGTGTGTGTTTACTGCAGTGTTATGTTCGCCGCTGACACTGTGGTTTGTTTGTCTGCCCCACTGATGCCAGAGTGTTGGGTTACACAACTCGTTTGCTTTGTGTGACATCATGCTTCATCATTACAGTGGGAAAAGAACACAATCTGGGCTCGAGTTTTCCAATTTTTCTCCATGGTTAAGTCAGTGCTTGCTACTCACTATTTATTTACAGGCTGGATGCTTCAAATCTCATGCTCTGAGACTGCCCGCGGTCTCCAGAAGCCTCCAATTACACAATAATCAAGTGACTAAATTTGGGAAAAGAGAGCTTAGGCCCCCCGTAACAAAAGCCATATTTGGCATTTTAATGACTGAAACGCCCGCACAAAACTGAGCGATTTGAAGCGGGTATGCTTTTATTCTTTCTTCATTCTGAGGCACTGAGGAATTGTTTTAAATCTCCCCCAAAATGCAGATCTCTTTTTAAAAAAAAGGGGCAAAGATGAAGGTGCCCTGAGGAGCAAGACACTTTTTGTTTCAATGTTTGTGTGTGTGTGTGTGTGTTACTGTAGTGAGTGTGTAGGAGGACAAGCGCGTGTATGGATCTCCTTCTGCAGCCTTGAAAAATGGGGGCGGGAGTGGGCGAGTGACACCTAAGTACGCTTGCCAGTCGTGTGCGCGTTTCTGTGTGTGTGTGTGTGTGTGTGTGTGTGTGTGTGTGTGTGTGTTTGTCTTTAACAAATTCACAGCACGCCGCCGGTCTGACCGGTTCTCCACAAGATGCTCAAAGAAACTAGGGCGAAGAAAGGAACCAAGACAGATAATACAGAGCGAATAATGCATGCGCGAGGTTGACTCCAGACTTAGACTGTGCTATGTCTGTGTGCAAAAGGATGGACTCCAGAAGAAATGTAACACCGTGGAGCTCGAGGAGCAACTCGCTCACTGCAAGAAGCAGCTGCAGCGAGCCCATGAAGAGTAAGGACGGCTGTAGTATGTAGTATGTAAGATGTGTTCAGTCCAAGTCAACTTACGGCCCGATATTGATCCCGACAAGCATTTAGCCCACACATATATGACTAAAAAAAGTCCAATGGCCCCTGCCTGTCTGCCTGTGTGTGTGTGTAGGTTGACCGAGGAGCGCCTCGGTCGAGAGATGGCCGAGTCTCGCCTTCGTCTGCAGGAAGATCAACTGGCCGAGCTCCAGGAGGCGCTCAGGAGGGTCTCGGAAACGGCGTCCCACCCCGACTCGCTGAGGACGGTACTGACGCAAACCTTCTGCCCAATTTGTGTGCATACAGCAGATCAATTTGAAAAATTACAGATCGTGAATTTATCGCTTGAAATATGTGATTTCAAATGAAGTTTTAAAATGTATTGCGCAAAAGTTAAAAGTGAATCAAAAAAAGTATAGCGATGGAAAACATGATGATGCAACAACTATGACATGGCTATTCACCAAATTAGCATTATTATCGCCGATCTGAGCGGTTTTGTGTGGCGTCAGGACGTGGCGAGCCTGCGGGCAGAGCTGGCCGAAGCGTCGGCGCGGCGCCGGCATCAGGATGAGACGCTGCGGCAGCGCGGGCGCGAGCTGACGGCCCTGAAGGGGGCGCTCAAGGAGGAGGTGGAGTGTCACGACCGCGAGATGGAGATGCTCAGGGAGCAGTACGGACTGGACATGAACAACCTCAGGAAGACCATGGAGCAGCTCACGCAGGTGCGCCGGCGTCATTGCTCGACTCCCGAGTCGACGAAAAGGCACTCGGGCTTCGTGCTCGGCTCTCCAAAGAGAATCCCGCCATTTGTGATCGCTGCCGGAAAACTTTTCATCATTCTCCTCGCGGCGGATTTTGGGATTCGCTTTGCGCCCGCTATTTCTAGAACGTGTGAGGCTGAGTGTGAAGGCTCGATCGGAGGAGATGTGTCGCGCGGTAAAAAGCACAGTCGGGGAGGAAAAAGCAGCAGGCAGACACTTTTGACAGTTGCGCATCTCATTCTTATCAAGGTGCATTTTTACATGCGGTACAGGAAGCCGACGTCTGCCCGTGGAAGAAAAATCAAACTTGGGCTGCGTTTTCAAATCAGAACGATCTCTATGTGCCACGTCTTGGTGAAGCAGCGTGTGACTCATGATCCAAATTTATTACTTGACGCTCTGTTCCAAGGAACTAAACTAGTGCAAGCGAGTGCACGCAAATAGGCTTTACTTTTTGTCAGCCCCCCGCCACCCATCTCATATTTTTTTCCATATATATATATATCTATATATATATATAGATATATATAACAAATATTTTTTATAAATATTTATTTGTATTTTACGCCAATTTATGTGTTTTTCTTAATCTTGCCAAATATTTTTGAGAATTATGTTTTATTGTATTTGAGAATATTTGATATATTTTTTTGTAATGTTTATTTTTTGTTGATATGTCAAATATTTTGAAACTTATTAATTGGGGGAGTTCTTCATAATTGTGTACTTTTTGTTTGTACTGTTCAGTGTTTTTTTTTTCATTTTTTATGTTTGTCCTTTTTTGTTCTATTTTTCCCATTTGTCTATTTTTCTTAATTGTAATATCTATTTTGGAAGTTATTTTTGAAGTAATACTTCTCCTACCCCCTCCCCCACCACACCGCCCTCCCCTGCCCCGACTCTTAATATCTTGTTTAGCTTGACTATTTACCACTAGCTGATGTGGGTCACGCGGTTCATGTTTATTGGAAGCGTGACATAATTCCTCCTCGAGAGAAATAAAGTTGTATCTGTTTGCTATCTTTTGTTAGTCACAGGAACAGATCGAGCAGGAGCGCGAGCACGTCAACGCAACCCTGGTGAGCCTGGAGGAGGAGCTGGACAGCTGCAGGGATCAAGGAGAGCACTGGAAGTCGCAGCTGGACGCCACCTCGCAAGAGCTGCAACAAACGCAACAAACGTGAGCCCCGCTTGCATCATTTGTCTCTGTTCCACTCCACTGGAAGAGGAGCTATGTCTCCAAAACGTCGTAAAAGAATCTCATCATTTCCCAAATTGGAATGCAATGAATAATTACAATTTTAAGAATCTGCCATTTTTTTTATCTTTAATCATATTTAATCATCAAACGTTGGTGACACTTTTTCTAAATTAAACTAAAAAAAAAAAAAAAAAAAAATCCTCCTAAAATGATCACCCCATTTTGCTCATGATATAATTATGATTGGACTTGGTCTTATCATTGGAGTGTATTTCCATAAAAATAACCCAATACAAATGCATTTCCATTCCTGCAGTTATCATTACAGCTTTGCTAAATTGTAAAAATAAAAAGCAAAACACAAACACAAATTATCTTGGAGCATGACCAAATGTTCCTCATCCAACGGGTTTTTCTTCATTCGCCTTAAACTCTTGAGCGATACTCATCACTGTTGTTATTTTGCGTTTTTGAACAGTCTATCTGTGAAGATGAACTGAACATAAACAAATACTGCACTAATCTGTCCCGTATGAGCATTCATGTATATTCTCCTTGATGTATTCCGTGTTTTCTTTTGGAGCGGGCCTTTCTGTACATTTGCTGTTTACTTCTTCCACTAAGTTGTCAAAACGCATTGCGGCCTTGGCCCCACATCAAGCGACTTCTCGTTTTGATGTTTTTCTTTTCGGGTCCATTTTTAATATCTCACAGTTCAAAGAGGCATCGGCGGAGATGCTATTCGGTGCTTTGATCGAAGTCTCCGTTTGCTCTTTTCTATTTTTAACACGTGCACTTTTCATCCGGCAGGACGCGGACGCACTCCGGCGGGCCCATGTGAGAACTTAGAGAGCGTGTTTGTGTGGCTCTGCGTAGACGTAGTTTCAAATCAGACGAGCTGTCATTTTAGAGATTTTGGGGGGCACGTGTGAGAGTGTTGAGCTCCCATGAGTAGCTAACTCCATTCACAAACCCAATCCCCCTCTCGTCCCCTCTTGAAATAATTTTGAAATTGGTAACAATAAAAAGGTAAGTGAACTCCAGACCAACCGCTTCACCCCGTTTGTGCTGCAGCCCTTAAAGGAGACATAGTGTGCACCTTTTTCTCTGTCGTAATTGAAATAGGTGTCCTATAAATGTGCGCCTGGCCAAGTATTACCCGAAACATGTTTCCATACTGCTCACCTTTTCTGAAGGCTATGCTGAGAGCGACTTCAATTCTGCTACGCTTTCACCCATCGTTAAAATATCTTCTTTCCCATCATAAAACCTTTCTCATCGAATTGCGATTCCTCCCCGCACCCCATTGTCATTTTCCACAGTATGTCCCCTTTGAGTGTGTGTGTGTCTGTCTGTGTGTTTTCCTTTTTGCGGTCTTGCAGTGTGAATGCTGCGTTTCGCCGGCTTATTTTAACCGTGAGCGTCCTCAAAAACTGTGTTGTGGTCTGGCCCGCAGGCTGCTGAAGTGTCAGTTGGAAAAAGGAGAGTTTGAAAGCAAACTGAAGGAAGTCCAGGACTCGCAGCTCGCTGTGCACGAGCAGAGCTCGCCCTCGTCGGACGAGGTAACGCAAACGCGGATCGAACGACTCTTTTCGGCCAGCGTATGTTTTGATCATGTTTACAAGTAGTTCGTTAAGGATGTTGCAATACAAATTGTACCATCAATATCCGGCACGCTGACACTACTCTCAATACTTTAAAGTTGAAGTCGTCCTCGGATTTCGAAGCAAATTTCTTCATTGGAAATCATGGAAACACAACTCTGAACCATGTTTTTAAACATCATAGAATTGTTCAAAGCGGTCAGCCTGGTGCTGATGTCAAATTTTCATTTCTGATGTAAAGTCCCGTGAAAAGCCAAACAAGAAATGTATGCCCTCATGACCCGAAAAATATTCTTTTGAAATAATTATTTGTACTCACTATCTGGCAAGCCTGATACTTGGCGGTTGCTCCGATATCTTTGAGCAAATCGTAAGGAAGTCCCAAGTTCAGAGTGGATTTCTAAGGGCTTTCCCACCCCGTTATTCAAGTGCTCCCCAGTCTTTTGTACGCCCACCCACCCATTCATCCTCATCCTCAAGGAGCTTCAGCGTTGCCTGGACGATCTGCACCAGGCCCGCATGGCAGCGGAGGAGCAGAGGGCCGCCCTGCGCGACCAGAGCGAGACTCTGGAAGCCCTGGAGAGAGAGAGCGGCGAGCGCGAGGCCCGGCTCCTGGCGCAGATCGCCGACATGGAGGCGCAGAAGGCCGAGCTGGAGAAGGCCCTCCAGAAAGCCAAAGAGGTGAGCGACACCATTCGCTCCTAAATGGATCTGTCTATCCCAACCACTCTCGTTTTACATCTCAACATTATTTTTCCCAGAAAAATTGTAACTCTGAAATCAGAGAAAAAAAGTTCCCATCAAGTGACACCTTTTTTGTTCCCGCATTAGATTTTTTCCCCTGTCACATTTATCTCTGAATATCATGACAGTCTTTCACGTTCAGTTGAAATGTTCGTTCTTGTATTGAAGCATGTTTTGCCTTCTGGTCTTCTGGTGAGATTTTGCTCAAATAACAACATTTCGGCTTCCTCATAACAATCGATGTCGATTTTACCTCAATTCGTGGCATTTGGCTGCCGGGCTGCTCAGTCGTACCGTCCAAAGTGTGCAAAGTACGCAAGACGTGATTGACTGACCAAGAGAATCATTTGCTGTCTTGTGTGCAGGCGTCTTCGGCTTCTTCCGTGGCGGATCACAGCACCAACATGGAGCTCCAGGAAACAAACGCTCGCCTCCGAGAGAGGATCGCCCGCATGGTACTCGCTGCGGCCGCGGCGAAAGCGCGGCCGAGCTGCACCCACAACACACACGCCATTATGTAAATGCCCGTACTGTACAATAGAAAAACAAACAGCCTCCCGCGCACTCTATTTCCAGCAAAGAATGAGGCCGGGTAAATAATCCCTCTCTTCGATGCAAAATAATCTTCTGTTTGGAAACTGATATGGAGCAGAAACAGATTGAGAGCACATGTCAATCCAGTGAAAATGACGCCCAAAATGGCTCATCACACTTGGGTTTCATTTGTTTGTGGAAATTCAACCTTTGTATTTTCCTCAACTAGCGTCTTTGAATTCAGACAAATAAACGTCTCCCCTTTCCCCATGATGGTGAAGGAGGTTTTATGTTGAATGAACCCATTTCGGTTTTGACCAAAAACAGCAGCAGCGACGGAAGCACCCAAACTATTTTTTGGGGGCCTTGTGATGTATTCACATCGCAACATTTTTTCTTGTAAAATATTTCTGTTTTTTGATGTGATATAAGCCAGATTCTCTCTAGTGAACTTCTGAAAAGAAATCCCAACGATCAACCTAAAGTTACGACTTTATTCAGGGAAAAAACATACACAAACAGCGGGTGAATTAAAGTGCGGAAGGCTTACTCGTGTGGTAAACGAGTTGAGTTGAACCCTAACGAATGGGAACCCCCCCCCCCCCGCCCGCCCCCTGCAGAGGCTGCACTCCAGCGCTGCCAGGAGCCCCGAGGCCGAGGAGGCGATCGAGGCCCTGGAGGACGAGAACCGCTCCCTCAAGTCCCAGCTGGAGGAGGCCAAGCGAGGGACGTCGCGCCTGAGCAAGGAGAGGGACGAGCTGAGCCGCCGCCTGGAGGAGCGGGACCTGGAGCGCGAGGCCCTGCGGCGCAGCAAGGCCGACCTGGAGGAGCAGAAGAGGCTCCTGGACCGAGCGTTGGAGAAGATGAACAAAGAGGTTTTGCCGACGTGCCTTTGCCCGCGCTCTGCCTCGGCGGGTGTTCATGTGAGCGTCCCGCGTACAGGTGGAGGTGGTGATGGGCGACTCCCGTCAATCGGTGGCCGCCCTGCAGACGCAGCTGGATGAGTCCAGGGAGCGCGCCAGGAAGGACTTGTTGGAGGCGCAGCGCAACAACAAGGACCGCATGGCCGAGCTGCAGAGGGCACTGAGCAACCTCAAGACTCAGCAGGAGGAGGTCAGGACTTGGATGCGGACGTTCCCAAAAACGGGAACGTTCCCATTGTTGGGGGATGACTGCGCGACTCGCATTGCCTGACACTTTTTCGCATGGCCATACATAGGCAATGACAATGTCATGAAATGGATGGCCACATACAAGGAAATTACTCCCACACTCTTCGGTGGGTGTGGAGAAGTTCGTTCAACAAAATTGACTGAGCGCTTTCTCCAAAAATTTGCTCACTGCCAGACTTGTTCCATGAGTCGGTCCCCACTGAAATACAAAACTAAAATAAAGAAAACGTACTTGTGCCACTGAGGTGCTGCTGTCTGTGGCTTCAGGTGTCGCGGCTGAAGAAGGAACTGCTGAGCTGCAGCGAGGAGCGAGACGGCGCTCAGCTGGAGCGAGACCTGCTCAGCAACCGTCTCAAGCACTTGGAGAGCGAGCTGGAGTCGCAGAAGGGAACGCATACGGACCGCAACCGTGAGATCAGGGGCCTGGAGGTGAGGGGGGCCAAGCAGGGTGACGGACAAGGAGTGACCCATCTTACATGTTCGGAACCTCTCATAGATGCTGTGCCCAAATTCGTCGCCACGTGCGTCCTGCACTTAGAACAACCATATACCTCCGTCAAACCCACCAGATTTTTCTTGCATTACAACTTTTTTGGGGGTGGCTCTAAATTTTTTAGTGTGTGTGGACACTTTGGACAAGAAGTTCCTGCTGCCACCAATCTGCAATTCAGTATATCAACGGGCACCATGCTAATGTGCTGTGTTTGCCGTATGTTGCCAGGACAAGATCAAGACGCTGGAGATCGAGTTGGACGAGGAGCGGAGCGGCGTTGAGCTTTTGAACGATCGCATCACGCGCAGTCGAGATCAGGTCCAGCAGAACAGCTTCACTCAGTCATGTTATTTGCCAAGTGCTGTCGTTGACTTGCACACTTTTTGCCTTTCAGGTGGACCAGCTCCGCTCCGAGCTGATGCAAGAGCGCTCGGCCCGACATGACCTAGAGATGGACAAAAGTGCCATTGAGAGGCAGGTGAGCCAAAACAAAAAAAAAAAAAAAAAAACAGCTTCACTCAGTCATGTTATTTGCCAAGTGCTGTCGTTGACTTGCACACTTTTTGCCTTTCAGGTGGACCAGCTCCGCTCCGAGCTGATGCAAGAGCGCTCGGCCCGACATGACCTAGAGATGGACAAAAGTGCCATTGAGAGGCAGGTGAGCCAAAACAAAAAAAAAAAAAAAAAAACACAAATGGTGGCGCCCGATTTGTGGTCCTTTCCCGACGTCCGCGTATCCGTGCAGGTGAAGGAGCTGAAGTCGCGCGTGGCCGACATGGAGGGACAGACGAGACCCTCGGCCGGCATCGCCGCGC